GACTTCCAACTGAGCTGTCAGTCGTGGAACTCGTGAAGATTATGGCAACCCTCACAGTCCAGTAGAGGACTGTCACTGGCTGTTATATATTGGTACTAACTACGCTCACTCGATTTCATTGGCTTGCCGGAGCCTATTGATCCTAGTTTTATGTTTTATGACTAAAACTCGATAAATTCATGCAACGAAGCGCCGAATGCACGCATCCGTCAAAAACGATAGACGGACTTAACGTTGCCGCTTCGTGGATGGTTTAATCTTTCTAAGCAAGATGCAGGCATTTGTCATTTGTCAGGTCGCCGCCTATTGTTTGTGCAGGATGCATGAATTCGTCAAATGACGCAACGTGGACAGTTACCTTTAGTCGTTTGTCATCCTCACTCGAGCGCCAACGTTGGACTTCTAGCGGTGACCATCTAGTGGGTGGCCATTGCATGGTAGTCTCATCTGATGTTGTGGCTGGTGTCCCCTGGTTAAACAGAATCCTTAGTCAATTTATTTATTTATTTATGGCAGACGGATCACCTGACGGTAAGCGATCGGCGTCGCCCATGGACACCTGGAACACCAGGGGCGTTACAAGTGCGTTATCGGCTTTTGGAGATTATGAGTTTGAGGATCGTTGGGGATTCAGGAATTGGGGAGATTGGGGAAGGGGAGGGTAATTGGGCCTCCGGTAACCTCACTCACACGACGAAACACAACGCAAGCGTTGCTTCACGTCGGTTTTCTGTGAAGCTGTAGTATCACTCTGGTCGAGCCGACCCATTCGTGCTGAAGCATGGCTATCCCACGCTTGTCAATGTGCTGTTTCGGTTAATTTGTTCGGATTAAAAGTAAGCTTAGTGACGTAGTTATTTAGTATGCAAGTACGAATGAGCACAGTAAACCATGATTGTGATACCCTACAAATAGAAGTAGTGTGAGCCGTGGTGGAGCTGGGTATACTTTGCCCACTGTCCTTTGACCCAAACAAAGAACGGAGAAAGCTAAATAAAATTGATAATTCTAACTAGGTACGAATCATTTGACAAACTACCAAACCTTACATTTTCGTCAATCGCAGAGTTCCACTTATGGAAATTCTTAGCATTTGAGCTACCACCATCATCAGGCCAGATGTGCTTCCATCGTTCTACACAGTCTGTGGGTAGGCTCTGATAGACAATCTCGGTAATTTTAGAGGGCTTTAGTACATCAGGATTCCAGACCATGACATTAATGGCAGGAGTTCTGTCCTGGATCGTGACGGCTGTATCAGTTGTTTCTGCATTGACGTCTTTATTAATAGGTTCCCATTGTTTCGCTGTATAAGGCATCCAATTCTGTTGAGTTACCTCAATGACGTACCCTTGTAATATCGTGATCTGACCGTTAGCTTCTGGTTGCCATTTCTGTGCGCTATCTGTACCACCGACATATTCATAAATGTCGGTATCTTCTTTGTTTGTTGATTGTTTTTCTAACGATTCTGGACTTTCTATTTGCATAGTCGTACTTGGGTTATCTGGGAAAATCATATAAAAATAAATTCGCATGTGTAGGTGTGGGAGAGCCATGCTTCGGCACGAATGGGCCGGCTCGATCGGACTGAAACCACGGCCTCACAGAAAACCGACATAAAACAACGCTTGCGTTGTGTTTTGTCGTGTGAGTGAGGTTACCGGAGGCCCAATTATCCCCTCCCCAGTTTTCCCCCATTCCGGAATCCCTCGCAATCCTCAAATTCCCAATTCGCAAAAGGCCGGTAACGCTTGTAACGCCTCTGGTGTTTCAGATTGCTTACCATCAGGTGATCTCTCTGTTAGTTTACCGGCTTATCCCATAAAAAAATATAGTCTGACTGGAGGCAGTCAAATAAAATAAAATTAAATAAGTAGTTAATTGTTTTTTTTTAAATTACCTCAACTCATGCAATTTTCCTATGCCTGAAAACTTATATAATTTATCAGATAACTAGTATAGTACTTGACATTGACAGACGACCTCATTAAGGTCGCAGGGAGCCGCTGGATGCAGGTCAGACCAACCGGTCTATATGGTGATGATGATGATTATGAGCCAAACTTTACATTCTCCTTTTAAAGTTGTACCGTTGGTCGGTAGGCTGGGTAAATTTTATCCATATCATAAATATAAGAGTTTGCGCACTGCTGCTGTAGTTGGAACAAGTGGGTTTTAGGGCCAACTTTTTTGAGAATTAGACAAGGCAGCGAGGGGTTTTTGACCCGCCAGCACCATCTTTGTGGCAATTATCAGTACCCAGATTTCGGAATAACCCTGGTCAATCGGCCCCGCAGCCGAATGGTAGTAGAGAGGTCCTTCTAAATGATGTGTAAATGTACCTTTTTCTGCTTTTTCATCGATATTGTCGTTACAGCTCGCCATATTATTATCTTGTTCTTCAGACCTTTTCATACGCGTAGGACTTACAACTTCAAACGTTGCCGAGGTAATTCCGGTGTCTAGAAAATTAGTTAGTCATTGTTATATTACGAGATTATGTTATCTTATTATTCACAAACATAATATCACGCCTTCCCCGAAGCGCTACCCATTCCTACTACCTTACTGCTGTCTACGCAGAGGTGCACACAGAAGTAACACCCACTTTTCATTATTTATGTTATTAGTCCCATGTAATAGGAGGTGAATCTATGAGGAATTGAGACTCTGGTCCTCAGACGACGAAACACAATGCAAGTGTTGTTTTACGCCGGTTTTCGGTACCTAAGACCGTGGTATCACTAAGGTCGAGCTGGCCCATGCGTTCCCAAGCATGGCATGGGTACGCTTTGGTCCCGTATACCGTACCTTCAATGCCATCATCGTAGAAATCAAAAGTGTCGTACTCCTCATAGTCCCTGGCCAGGTTTACAGAGACCCTAGCCAACAGGCACAGTAGCACACCAGCCCACATCGCCCCTAAAGGGGGGTTTATTACTTTATAATTTAAAGCATATTCTATTGTAGAACACTCTTGAGGAGTTTCTTTATTTAGTAATCATCACTTTGACAATATTTGACGTTCTGTGACTCGCTAAAGGAGGGTGCGGTTCCACTGAGGCAGAGCAGAGCAGGTTGGCTATTCTGTTGAGTTTCATCGCATTCTCGCCCGTCATTGGTCGAGATTATAGTCACAACGGACGACATGGCGGACCGCGATCGAGTTAACTTCGAGAGTTCGAATAGGGTAGTTTCCTAAATTTTATGTTAATTTCCGTCGCATTTTAATTTTCTTACAAAATTGAATACTTTCGACGATATATATTAATTTGAAATACCGTGTGACGTCACAGCGTACCACATTTTGTGGCACGTTATGACGTAACGACCTCCCACTCCTAAACTTAGCGCTATTTTATATAAGTATTGCAACATAATACGAGAAAATAAAAAAAATACGTGTAATGTTTTTTCAATATCCAACTGACGGACTAATTATATTTTTAATTTTGATACACTGGAAACTATCCAATTAACATCTTACAGAATAGTCTAGCAGAACGGCGAAGAGAGACATGGCTTGAAATCCACATCTTTTCTCTACTCCACTTCACATAAAACTATTGGTGGAGACGACCAGAATATTTAAAACTATCGGGAAATCCGACTACGTTAGACTAGCGGCGAAAAACTCAATGGCCCTAAGCGCTGCGCTTCTGTAGAAACAGAGTTCTTTCACAATTCAGCTCCGCTCCGCACCGCTCCATTCTGCTTCAGTGAAACCGCACCCTTGTAATTTTTTTTATGGCCCAAAAGGTACTAGAAGTCTATGAGCACACAGCACACAGACAATGACGTTAAAAAACGATGATTAATGCAAGCTTAGAGTAGGATGGTCTATGGTACTCTAGAATCCTGTACTTTGAAAGCACCAAACACATTATATTCATTTGGGTGATACTTGCTTTGCTTAACTGTACCTCCTCATCGGAAACTCATCTCCTAAACATTGATAAACCTAGTTATCCTTTTATTAATAGTTTGTCTAATATTCTAGACATAAAACTTCTAACATGTAGACTCTGTACTAACCAAAAAAACACCTTCATTGTAATTACTCATGTTTTACTAAATAAATATATCTTTATCTTTATCTAGACAAATTCTAGCAATAAAACGTTTCTTTAGTTTTGTATTTATAATATAGTATTCTAGTCTAATCCAGATTAACCTATCTCCTATCTTTTTTTTTGAGAAGGAAATATCATCCAATAACTTCTCCTACCGTGGGTGGGGCGAAAGGGAGTGTCAGACTCTTACTGACTAAAAACCAAAACCACCCCGTTCCTACTCCTGCTCTTCGAGCGGGAGCCCCGGAGACCCGTTGGCATTCTGCGGCTCTGCATCGTGCATCAGCCCTACTGGGCCCTTTCTGTGATGGTCTGATGCGTCGCGTTGTAGGCACGGGTCTAAAGCTGGTCGGGCGGCGAGTAACCCGGCTCGCCATCCGCAAACCTTACTTACGGTGGCCGCTATACGGTACTGTCTACCTCTACTAATTAGGACCAATTGTATTGTTGTATTATTGTATATTTGTATCGGTTGTATTTTTTTTATGGCATATGCCGTAAACGAGCAGACGGATCACCTAATGGTAAGCATCGGTCGGCGTCGCCCATGGACACCTGGAACACCAGAAGCGTTACAAGTGCGTTACCGGCCTTTTGGGGATTAGGAGTTTGAGGATTGTTAGGGATTCGAGAATTGGGGAGATTGGGGAAGAGGGGAGGGAGCTGGGCCTCCGATAACCTCACTCACACGACGAAACACAACGCAAGCGTTGCTTCACGTCGGTTTTCTGTGATACCACGGCATTCGTGGCTAAGCATGGCTCCCCCACACTTAAAATTGGTATTGTATCATTCATATCCATTTGACATATCTTGCCTTCGTCACTGGGTTGTATAATCTATCAATACTCTTTGTATCATCAGTCATTGCGGTGACAGTTCAAACTTCTATATTTATTTATATTTTTTGGATGAAATCACGAAATATTTTTAGTAATTTAAATTAATGAATTAAATTGTTGAGGTAATCTTGTTACCCCTGGCAGGGATGTGGGTGGGCGTGATACTCCTGATGGCTGTGGTGGAGGTGCGCTCGAACTTTGAGTACAACAACTATTACGACCAGGCGCCTGATGAGAACGCTGGACGTGACCTGTACGAGTTCTACGGTGGTTCGTAGTTTCTTACTAATCTTCTAGATCTAGTATAATGGATTGTGTACGGAGACCGAGCAACAGCGCTCCCTGATAAACCTGAACATTTTAAACGGCTATGTCTTAGTCGTGTGGCAAGAGTCGAGATTATGGAAGACTTTGTTTGTATAGAAGATGTCGTGGTGGCCCGGAGGTTTAAGACGCCCGCTTCTCATGCATGAGGGTGCGGTTTCGACACCTACCAACGGCAAGTACTAATGTGACTTTATCCAAGTTATATGTACTTTCTAAGATTATATAGACACAACTGACAAACGGTGAAGGAAAACATTGTGAGGAAACCTGGACTATAAACTGCAATAAACAAGCGTGGTGATTAACGCTCAAACCTTTTTCATGTGAAATGAGGCCTTGCTCAGCAGTGGGTACTTATAGACTGTTGATTTGATAGAAGAAACCTTTCAGTAGTGGACATAGGTGTTATGAAAGAGGCTTGACTGGAAGTCGTTGGGGGAAGCCTGTGATGATGATGATCATGGTTGTACAATAGCAGGTTACACAGCGACTGTGACGTTAATTAAAATGTATTGTCTGTAGAGATGCACACGGAAGTGACGCCGATGATAGATACCACCTCTATTAGATTCACAAGGATCCGAAGATTCGGAGAACGCATCTCGAGTAGTACGACGCCTGTAGACTTACGGTACATCAAAGGTAAGGTTTTTCTTTTTTCAAATCAAATCAAATCGTCGATTTAATTATACAGGATAAATACAGGTCTTAAATAATTAAAATTGATTCAGCTATGTCCCGCCGTTGAGGCATACAATATTTAATAAAATACAAATCAGAATTTGAAACACAATTAGTCATATTAGTCCCGATACATTATTAAAATTTTTATAATAACTATCGTACGTAGGCTGCCCGACACTCTAGTAGAGCTTTTCTCAGTAGATATATTCACGTGAGTAACTCGCGATTTTTAGTTTACATTATTAAAATATTCCAAAATATAGACAAACAGTTATCTGTTTCATAGATAGATACATTCAATTTCAAGTCATATAAGTCATAATCGTAGTTCTTATGAGGTTTATTTGCTAAGTAACTGATAACGGTTATCTAAGTGATATTTCGTTACAATAACGTTGTGAATAACAGTGTCAAAAGTAGACATGTTCGCCTCTTCTCTTTCTCACATATGTTGTTAGAGAGGGAGAGCATATTTGAGTTACCAACTATTTGGTTAGCAATGAATGTTTGTAATATTAGCAGTGTTACATTCAGTTGTAATTTACTCGCCGATCGATAGTTATACTCCTAGATATACATGTCGTCTTTGAAAACCGTCACCGATTGTGACAATATCGATACGATAAAGTGTGGGACAGCCACGCTTCGCCACGAATGGGCCGGCTCGAATGATACCACGGCCGAGCAGAAAACCGATGACAAAAGGCCCAATCACGCTACTTGAGCGTCATGTCGTGTGCAAAAAATGGTAGCCCTCGTTTATATGACTGTTTTAAGGTGCTTTGAAGGAGATCCTCGCTGGACATGAACTGGACGGTGTGAACGACGAGCCAGCGGACATAATAGAATTAAATGAAGACGAGGAGTTGACTACCGCACGCACGAACATGCTGACATCTACACTTTCAACAGAGACATACACAGTGCGTACACACTAGTGAGAGCTTCGTACGGGTTGGTTATACGAAACGAGACCGCGTCCGACGCTTTCATTGGCCGCCTCCAATGAACCATTGCGAATCATAGTACCGAACGCGGTCTCGTGTCGATTACTTTAAACTAAATTAAACCATAGAGTTACTTAACCTGTGGGAGCACCGTCACTAGCTCTTTATTTTTCTCCAAATGTCGTTAAGTGTCCCTTATCTCGTTAACTAGGGTCTCCTAAAATTTAAAAGAGGTTGGTGAGCATGCAACTCACTTGCTTGTATTGTAGTATATCTTAGACCATATTGATTACCGGTAACAGCGACGTATGGCACACATTCTCATCCGTCACGGCGCACCGCGATCGAGCTCACTTCGAGAGTTCGAATTGACTTCTTACAGAATAGTCTAGCTGACCCAGGACTTGATGCAGGGCGAGGGAGACTGGCAAACTGTCTGATTTTTCTGTGAAGCAGATATGTAAGCTAAGGAGGACGGCGAGCATGTGAGGGAATGAACCTCTTTACGCCCCAACCGCCGCAGGAGATACTCCTAGACTATAGACCGCACGATGACCTGGGGGCTTACTCTTGAATCCAATTCAGATCGATCGACATTTCTATTGTGAAATTTCGTACTCTTGAGTCGCAACACTAGCGCCCATTGCATCCGTATTGCGCGGATATTTAATGAACTAAATGCTATTGAGTGTTTGTCTTCATAATCCGTACTCTGAATGTTATTTCAACAGCTACGATTGTGGTTGTATAGTGTTGACATTGAATAATTATTGTGAGTTTATTGGATTGAAATTGCATTGATATTGAGATTGGTTTCAAGAGTAAGCACCCTGTACTGATCGCGCCGTACCGTAATGCCACAGTAATATTGTCAGTCAGTAGTGTAACTGGGCCGCATGACAGAGTTAAAAACCTATAACTGCGCGGTAGGTTCGTAAACATGCGTTAGGGCTGCCCGTCTCTAGTACCTACTGTAAATTCCCTTTTTACAATCAAAATATTCGAAATTGCCACCAAAAATATTGAATTGCACACTAAATTTGCTCATCAAATAAATCAATTATACTATCTAATAATTCATAACCTAACCTATTTTGTAATTTCAATAATTCATAACCTAACCTAACCTACTTTGTAATTCTAATAATTCATAACCTAACCTACCCGCAGTGAAAAATTACATTTGCCTCCTTTCTGTGAGTATCTATTTAGTTTTGTGATTGTAATGTAAATATCCTTTATATAATATATATTATAAACATATAATACTTTGTACCTATATTGAATAGGAAGTGTCCTATAAAACTGCATGTGGTTTTTTGATTGGTAGGTAGATTTAATTAAAAAAAAACATGTTATTGTTTGAAAGACAAAAAGAATTTGCGACCAAAAAATATTTGCAAAAAAAATCATTTTGGCTGATTTTTTTTATTAATTTTTTTTGATTTTTTTTTCTGAACAGCGCAATATTTCTTACTCGTCATAGGTATTAAATATTTATTCGAACTGATTTTTAGAGAAAAATCGCTCGGTTATTGTTATGTAAACAACACACCGTCCGTAGCGGTACAGCCGTGAATGTCTGCATACCGAGCGCACCCTGACATTAAGCTCGTAGGTACCTATATATATATATAGCTCGCATTTCGTCCGTTTGTATGAAATTGGAATACTGTATGATATTATTAGCGTGGTAATGCCTAGTTCGCGCTACGCTAATATTTTAGTCTAGATGCTTTTGCTAGATAGATGATTTTGTAGTTTACTCTCGCTTAGATTTTAGGGCAGAAGCGAGAAAGGGCACTAAATAGGTAGTAGGGCTTGTGTATCTCATGAGGGTGGATCGTTCACCGATCAGAACCAGAAATAATGTCCACTTTAGTGCAAAGTGCAATGGCGAGTTAATATTTTCTTATCTGTATGTTTCAGTTCCCTCCATTTGAATGGACGACATTTGACGATTATAGAAGACAGGTACCTATATATAATTTAATATCTTATACTTTATATACTATTATATAAAGCGGAAGAGTTTGTTTGTTTGTTTGAACGCGCTAATCTCCGTAACTACAAGTCTGATTTGAATAATTCTTTTTGTGTTGGATAGCGCATTTATCGAGGATGGCTATAGGCTATAAAACATCACGCTACGACCAATAGGAGCTGAGCAGAGCGGGTGAAACCCCGCGGAAGTAGCTAGTTAATTAATATAAATTCCTTACCTATTAGTGTATTGCGTCTGTCTGTATGAACATGATAATCACAAAAACTACTGCACAATTTGTTGTACGGTTTGTTAAATTGAATAATGTGGTTTCTAAAAAAGATTTATTTTGATTCTGGCCACGCGAGCGAAGCCGCTGGCAGAGAGCTAGTCTGACAAAGCGTGGATATCTGCGAGGTGGTAAATACCGTTGAAACAAATAATTGAGCCTCCGGTGACCTCACTCACACTACGAAACACAACGCAAGCGTCAAGTCAGACGTTGCTTCACGTCAGTGTTCTGCTCGGCCGTGGTATCACTCCGGTCGAGCCGGCCCATTCGTGCCGAACCATGACTCTCCCACACTTTATTTAATGACAATGATGTTATTTTTCTTGTTAATTTTTATTTTCTTTTTTTCCTCAGGGAGAAAATGGTACAGTGAGTATAGAGTATCTTATATATAATAACCTTATTACAATTTGAGTATGTGGTGATTGCGAACACTGTTGTTGAAGATGCAACGTTCCTGCAACACTCTAACTGCTGCACGCTATAACTTGATAATAATTTACTTTATCTCCGTCGCCTATATCTAGGTAAGGCCTCGGTATCACTTTACTAAACTAATTACTTGACCGTGACCAATAAACATCGGGCTATGCTGCGCTGTACTGCTCGCTCGTCTAACATTTTATTTAAATGAGGATACAAACAAACGATGCTGTGAGAGGCTACGCACTGTCTCGAGCGAGACGCGCTACCCGCCGCTGTTTTTCAAACTCACGCTGCATGCCCCTCCACCGCCCTCGGGCCTCATTCGACAGCTGCTGTGATTGGACTAAAATCCCTTCCTTCTCGTTAGCCCCTATTGGAGCCGCCGCGCTGAATTATTTCTTTACGTCTATGTTACTTTTTTTCTTAATTTTCACTTTTTCACTCTTAATTATTATTTTTTGTCCTCAGATGCCTACAGACCATGTAAGTATAGTGTCTTATACAGGTGTCCCTGAAAGTATGGATAACATCGAACAGGGGCATACAGGAGGTCGTTCCCTAACTTTTTACTCCAGTAATGATGGTCCGACTCTTAACGGTTCAAAAGTTATGACCAGTTATCGTTTTATTCAGTGATTGCTCAAAGAACGAACCATAAACAAAAGCTGTCCTCATCGTAATTTTTATTTTTAGACTTCGTGCAAGAGTGGACCTTTCTTATCATTGTACTCAGAAAAATTGTTTTTTATGGCATAAGCCGGTAATCGAGCAGACGGATCACCTGATGGTAAGCAATCGGCGTCACCCATGGATACCTGGAACACCAGAGGCGTTACAAGTGCGTTACCGGCCTTTTGGGGATTAGGAACTTGAGGATCGTCGGGGATTCAGGAATTGGGGAGATTTGGAAAGGGGACGATAATTGGACCTCCGGTAACCTCACTCACACAACGAAACACAACGCAAGCGTTGCTTCACGTCGGTTTTCTGCTCGTTGGTGGTATCACTCCGGTCGAGCCGCCCCATTCGTGCCGAAGCATGGCTCTCCCACACTTACTCCCACACACTATTTACGAAATGACCTCCTATGCCTCGTTCGATTTGACCTATACTTCCAGGGACACCTTTCTAAAACCCTTAAATATAAGCCACCGAATGAAGCACGAGTTTGCGGACGGCGAGCAAGGATAGTTCGCCGTCCAACCAGAACCAGACCCGAGCGTACGTACTCGAAGCGCCATCAGACACCACCACAACGGACGGAGCCTAGTAGAGCTGATACCCGACATGAAGCCGTGGAAGACTTAACAGGTTGCTGGGGTTCCAGCTCGAAGAGCAGGAGTAGAAACGGGATGGTGTTTAATCAGTAAGAGGCATGACGCTTCTTCACCCCTCACCGAAGGCGGGAGGTGTCATGGGATGATTTTCCCCTTTAAAAAAGTGTAACAAACAGTTTTGTGAAAATCGCATTAAAATAGGTTCAGCCAATCGCGAGATATACAAGGTCAAACTGAGGACGTCCTTCTTGGAAGACTCAGTACTGCGTCATGCATGTTAGGTATATTTTGAAGGACTATGTATAAACATGTGAGTCGCGGAGAACCTAACGGGTTGCCGGGGCTCCGGCTCGACGTGCAGGAGTACGAACGGGCTGGTTTTTAGTCAGTAAGAGTCTGACTCTCCCTCCCGCCTCACCCAGGCGGGAGCAGTGATTCGATGATTTTGCCCCCTTAAAAAAAAAGTATAAACATTTACGATTATGTTAATTCATTTTCTTATTTTCTATTATCTTTTTGTCCTCAGAGCTTCGACTACACTAGCCCAGTAAGTACAGAGTACCTTATACCTATGTATAACCCTAAAACAATTCGAACGCGTGACTGTTCAAAGTACAACTTTTGTCCAATAGGGAAATAGCTAATGTCACACCATCGGACGTTCTATATACATAACGTAACACAACATCACGCCTCTTATCCCCGAAGGGGTAGGCAGAGGTGCACATTATGCCACTGTACAATGTAACACCCACTTTTCACTATTTATGTTATGAGTCCCATGTAAAAGGGGGTGAGCCTATTGCCATATACCGGGTACAATTCCACACTCCGTGCGACTGAGAATTTTTTAACAACCCAGTAATACTTTGCCCGACTCGGGAATCGAACCCGAGACCCTTTGCCCGGCAGTCGCACTTGCGATCACACGGCCAACGAGGCAGTCTATATACTTATTATAAAACTTTTTACTGGTCACAAATGGCGGCCTGGGGACAAAGGGGACCCCACAAACTTGTTGTTAAAGCTTCTGTTGACCCCCCACTCATACAAATCAAATTGCGTCCTCTAATAAATGTAGTTAATACGCGGTTCTTTTCAATGGACTATCTATTCTATATCTACCACTCAAATACACGTGGGAACTGGAGAGCATTAAAGTCTAACTACATTTGCGGCATTTATTGACGAACAAAAAGTCACTAGCCCCTAATCATTATTTATTTATTTACTAGCGACCCGCCCCGGCTTCGCACACGTGCAATATGGATTTATTATACATTTAAACCTTCCTTAAGAATCACTCTATCTATTAAAAAAAACCGCATCAAAATCCGTTGCGTAGTTTTAAAGATCTAAGCATACATAGGGACAGACAGACGGCGGATAGCGACTTTGTTTTATATTACTACTACTTATATACTATATACTATACTATGTAGTGATTTATTTATTTAATAAGCATATGAAAAATTTTACAGCACAAAACATTATACCTATAGTTAAACAATAAAAATTAATGATTTACTACTTACACTTATATAATAGGCTATATATTATATACACTTCTAAAAGACTATTTTAGAAGTCAAAGTCATTCATTTCATTAGTTAAGTTTTTCTCTAGTTTCTCTATTTGCTGCTTCCAAGTTGTAAATTCCTAGATGTAGAAGAACGAGCAAGAAACTCCATAGGTTACTCTTTTTCAATCATGTTCACAATACAATTCTTTAATTACATTGTTTCGTTGCTTCAACCGAGTGAGAACAATGTAGAGGTAAAAGAAACGTAATACAGTCTGGAGCTGACCAGTTGCAGCTGAGGCCCCCGTTCACGAACATGACACGTACACCAGCACCGCCCAACTCAACCATATTGTAGGGAATCGAGCGATCCACTGCACGCGCCACCGCGAATGAGACCTTTGAGTGAGACAACTCCAAGCTGACACAAATGCATTCTACTAGTCTAATTTCATGATAGTTAATTAACAGGTCTCTTAGGGCGTGGCTCCATTTGTCCGTTGCGCTGCGTTGTGTCGTCGCAGCGTCGTAATTTATATATTATGTACTAGCTAATTCCGCGTACACCTGCTCTTCTCGGCGTCCTCTTATTGATCGTAGCGTGGTGTTATAGCCTAGCCACAAAAATAATTTATCGAATCGTCCGCGCCCTAGTAGTTCCTGAGAATAGTGCGTTGTACAAACAAACACTTCAACTTTATATAACTAATAGTAGGTACTTAATAAGATGAAATGCCACATTAGAGCGTCGCGGGCGTCGCGTCGTCGCCTCCTTTTTACTGATCGACGAATAAGAGACGAAGCGAGAGGGAGATTGATGCGCTGCGTCGCGCGATGGATCGTCGATGGACGGTCATTTTTAACTGAGAAACAGCTGCAACGTCGTGCGTTGCCGCAACCCTGGTGGGGCGTACAATGCGTTGTTCCGTTGCAACGCGACGAGGCGAGGACGCGACGCAACGGACGAGTAGGGCCTTGCTCTTATACTTTTACTATAAAAACTAGTTCTAAGTAAATTATTATTTTTGTGTTCGATAGTCCATTTATCGGGAATGGCTACATAAAACATCACGCTGCGGTCAATAGGAGCCCAGCAGAGTAGGTGGGTAGGAGCCGCGCGGAAGTAGCTAGTCTTCTACATATATACAGGGCGATTGGCGCATGGATCGATGCAAGTTTTGTAGGGACTTGGGAGGTCATTAACTACCGTTACCCATAAACCATGACAACGAACCAAATAATAATATCATGGTTTGGTCACATACGATTTTTATTTATTTTAGAAACAAAATTTATTTTATATCGCTAGACCTACAAACAAAAAAGTTATGTTGAGTGAAAGGAAACATTTTTGGAAAAAAAATACTTTTACCTCTATAAAAAATCATATCTCCTTCGTCCTTCGTCTCAGCGTTTGTGGGCGAAAGGTGGCGAGGCTGAATGACCTGCCACATCCCTGAATGAAAAAGTTGTATCAGTCCATGCGCCACTATGTATATCTATGATTAACATAATGTTTTTTTTAATAATAATTTAAATTTTCTTTTACCTAGACCGACGATTATCCGCTTGAATCTGAAACTCCGAGCCCTTCAGTAAGTATTCGATTTTATTAATGAGTTCAGCGCGTTAGAACCTGTCTGTACAGACGATACAACTATGCAGATCGCATGCAGACGCAACGAGAAAATAAATTCGCGCGATTAACTTCAGGCTGTGCAAAGCGGACGCCTGCCGATTGACATATTTATATTATTATAAGTCACACTCGTTGCCCGCCTCCGCGCATGGACCGCGTGCAGGTGTACCGTTATCCTTACTAATATTATAAATCGGAAAGTGAGTTTGTTTGTTTGTTTGTTTCGCTTTCACGCCGTAACTACTATACCGAGTGCTTTGAATTTTTACAGGCGTAAAGTTAGAAGTCCGGATTAAATAATAGGGTACTTTTTATCCCGAAAAAATTGATATTCCCGAGGAAAAACAAAAGTATTGGTATAGATGGCGCTGTGTGTATTGGTATATTTCACACAGGCTACTTTTTATCCGTTTGTGACGCGAGCGAAGCCGCAGGTAAAAGCTAGACTAGTAATGTTATATTTACTGGATGTGTCTTGTAATATAATTGGTTAAATTTCCCATCGATACGACTGTACAATGTACATGCATAAAAATTGAACTAGCGACACCTAATAATATGATCGTCCACGCAATGGGAGTCAACGCGGGCGTCCACTTCACGCAGTTTCATTCCTACGGTAGATGTCGTTATATTGGGATTTATGGTCGTTGGCAAGCAAAGTAAGTACAGTCGACTCTCGTTAATCCAAGCCTGCTATATCTAATTCGGACCTCTCCAAGTATAAGTCCAACTTATCACGAGGTCAGTAGACAATCTCTTATTTCAAACTAAATCAATACATTTTATACACTTGGTAATTCGAACGAAAACAACCCAAAAGTAAAGACTAAAAAGAGCCGACTGATAGGTTACCCGCTCATTGAAGGTTAGGTTAGAAGTCAGAGCATAAGTTCTAAACCAAATTATTCATTAAAACCTTAATAAACAGTTACCTACTGTTAGACGACGAAAATCAACTAAATGAACGTCACCAGTTTAATCTATGTTATCGACAGCACTAGCTGTCATATTGACGGTGTCATCTGTCAAATGGGACAGATTAGAAAAGTTTCCCGCGCAAAGTGGAGTGACGCGCGAATCTGGTGGGAAGTTTGAAGAGCATTGCGCTGTGTTCTTAAAAGAATCCGTTTATAATAAACTTTTCAGTATTTCAGTATTGAGTTTTACTTAAAACTACCTAATATTAGGCTGTTTACAATTTTGTGACTATTAAGTAAATCATTTTGATGAGCTTAAAAAAAAAAATATGGCACCGACTTTTTTTTTAAGCCGGTAAATATGATTGCTACGTAACTAAATGACTCGATAGTTACAAGTTACGACGTCAAAGTCTCAATAATTCGAAGCTGCATAGACAAGACAGTAAGACACAGAAGTTGCAGAGGTAAGAACCTGAATATTGATGTAAGTTTAAATTACGGACCGTTTAATATTTCGAATATTCGGTGATTTAGATTAAGGAGAGGCGACTGTAGTTATTTGAACACAGTGCGTACTGTGGTGCCGACTTAATGTTCCCGCGGGTCTCGTGGAGTCGACCAAAGTACTATTACACAGCGTCCATGCAGCAGCGCTCCCTGATAAACTGATTCTTTTAAAGCTAAGCGTCCACAGTCGCACGCATCGCACGCAATGGATTTTAGATAGCCTTGTTTCAAAACTGCTTCAACTGCTTCCGCTGATCCGCATCGTACGGATCGCTCATCGGCAATGCACTGATGACGTCATACGGAATGCCGATCAGTGGACGACCCCGTGTGCACTGTCTGCATTGTCAGCCATTTGCATTGGACGATGGTTGCTGATACTCGCGCCGGCAATCCGACCGTTGTCGATACAATGGATATCTGAGGCCTGAGTACAAGTTTGTTTTACGTTAAAAGTACCTAATCGTAACGAGACTGCCTTCAGCTCTATGATTGGTTAGTTCATTGGCGCCGGCCAATCAGAGCGCCGAACACGTACTCGCTTCGATTACTTTATACGTAAAACAAACTTGTAGTAAAGCCTCTGAAATGTTAATCCGAGCGCTGCGTGCAGTGCAGGCCTGTGGACGCGTACCTAAGGGTGGCTTTCCACCAGAGATGTGCTATGACTAAATAGTTATGCTGTGGGGATGTAATGGCTAAGTTGTGAAACTAAGTGACCGTTTCCACTGATAATAAGTCAAGCGAGTAAGACGTGCTAATGAAGACGCGCTTATGACATGACTACTTGCTACAAACGCGAGCTTGCTGTAGATGCTCTGTTCAGCACATAGCTACACTACTCGCCACCATCCATAGCACGCATCCTTTGATATATAACAAAATATATGTTAGTGGAATCCGTTTCCACCAGTGCTAAGCTATGTGTGCTAATGTATGTGATTGGTAGCTGCTATACGCATTCACAGCAACGTAGCATAGCATATAGCATATCTATGGTGGAAAGCACCCTTAAACTGCGACCTCCAACCCATTTGCCAAGCGTGGCCAATATGACAAATCCCTCTAATGTCCACTACATCACTTGTCCACTACATGCCCTTAGTCCAACGGTGGACTGTCACTGACGGATAAGGTAATAACATGTCACAATATTATATTTTGTTACAATGTGTATAATGACATGTCACAATATTTTATTTTGTTACAATGAGTATAATGACATGTCACAATATTATATTTTGTTACAATGAGTATAATGACATGTCACAATATTATATTTTAACTCTTATCTTTTCAGGATACAACTGTAACTACAGATGTAAGTATTACTTTAATATTTGTTACATCTGTTTATTTATGTTTTAATTAAGATATTACGTGACTTTCATGAGACATATGTGTAAATTAATTATTGTTTTCGGCTTACTCACGTAACTGTTTGACGCGGATCTCGACTAGTTTCGAGCCATGCTAGAGGCTCATGTTCATGAGTAGTATTCCGCGACACACGACGGGGTGACTGCCGCGGTGCTAATTGTGTAGTAGTGACAGTCGCAAATTAGTCGAGTAACTTTGTAAGGTCCATTTAGATCCTTACACTGTAGTTTTGTAGTTGTAGAAGGTGCAGTAGCTCGCAGAAAAGATCACAAGTTATAGTTGCTAGTTGCGTATATTAAGTTTGGTAAAAGTTACAAATAAATTTGTCGTGTTTCTTTGCTTGACGTTGGTTGGTAGATGAAGTACTAGTTATATAGGATAGAGTAGTAGATATAGTTCTAGTGTCAAGTGCTATATAGTATTGTTGTTGTTACTAGCCTAGGTATTGTTAATTTGCTATTAAACGTAGTAAGTTGGTTGTGTAAATGTAAATATTGTACGAAGTTATATAATGTACCTGTAATGTTAGCTGTAAGAGTGGAATAAATAAATAAATGTGCCTACTATGTAATATCTATACCATTAGAAACTTTAAAATTGAATATCTGTTTTTAATGTTATTTTCATTTGTTTCTTCTACAGAGGCTTACCAGCAAATACAGAACCGATTGGACTGTAAGTACTTTTTTATGATATAGGGCCGCGGAAACCGAGCAGACAGATCACCTGGTGGTAAGCAATCGGCGCCGCCCATGGACACCCGCAACACCAGAGGCGTTACAAGTGGTTACTGGCCTTTTACTGGATTGTTGGGAATTCGAGGTTGGGGAGATTTCAAAAGGCGGTAATTGGGCCTACGGTAACCTTACTCACACGACGGACACACAATGAAAGCGTAGCTTCACGTCGGTTTTCTGGTCGATGGTAGTATTTCTCCGGTCGGCTTTCCCACACTTACCACCGCTAAGACTTAGCGATGTGATGCGTCAACTGTAAATCATTTGGCTGTTTAGTTTAATTAAGGTAAACACAGACCTGTCCGTGCCGTCGCCGCAGTCAGAATTCTTTACATGAACTTACTTGTATATATGACCTCACTGACTCACCCGTATCACACATGACGTCACCAACGCCGGCCGCCCGCATCGGACGCTGCCTGCGCCCTGCGGTGCTGCTGACGTCAGACGGCATCGACCATGAAAGAAGTCGAGTGCAACACATTTACGACACGACGACGTGACGATTATTCTTTTGGACTATAACCGTCGCCGTCACCGTGTGTTAGGCTGGTTTTAAAGCAGGGATTGTTTAGGTACCGGTACCGGTTAAGGTAAGGTTTTCACATTTCGATAAAGCGGTACCCTTTATTTATCGGTATGACGTCAAACCAGTATTTAAATGCACCTTAATTTTCCGGTTATTTAGTCCCCGTTTTAAAGTCACGCTGACGGCACGCTGGTCACGGGCGCTAGCAGCTAAAAACTTCGACAAAGCGTTTCAGAATGTTGCCAATGCCGAATGTTGCCAATGCAACATTCGGCTAATGTTACCTCTGCCATTGGGCATGTAATGGCAGAGGTAACTGCTGCCGTCGGCCCACGACGGAACTGCCGTTGATCTTTAAAGTTGAGATGTGGGCGGCTGTCGTCGACGCCTCGTAAGTCAATCGTGAATTAATATCTCTGTTTTGTTTCAGTTTTCAGATCCGCTGACACAATCAACCACGGTAAGTAAATTGTAAAACACTATTCCTATACTACACTCGGAGAAAACTCAATAGAGTATTCGTTAAAATGAAAAAATAAGAAGCCAGTGCCAAGTGTAGCTACGTTCAATGATACGGAGATAATATAGTCTGGACTGGAATAACACATGGGGTACTTTTTGTCCCAGAAACGTTTTCGAAGCTAGAAGCTATATGACTACTGTTATGTTTCAAATTTGTATTTTTTATTTGAAACATGATAAATATGTTGGTTGATGTTGACTTATTTATTGTCTATGTTGTTTCAGAAAAAGACAAGATATACTGTAAGTATAACATTGCATTTAATAAAATAGGTTTTAGGACCGTCGCATCAGAAAATAGAAGACGTGCCTTTAATGCTACAAATATTTATCGTTGAAGTAACGTGGCGTGGGCTCTCCTACTATTATAACTCCTAGGCTCTAGTAAGTGAAACAAGTATAATCATTGGATTACAGTACAGTACAGTACAGGGTAGCCGACCAATGGTTACAAAACATTTAATTTCGTTACACAGCGCAGCGTGCTGCATACCAAACAACTTGATTGTTGCACTAATATTAATTGTTAATAAATTGTTTTGTGTTCCTACTGTACAGGGCCCCACTCGGCCGCGACCTAAACTCAACTTGACTGTGAGTATAAAAAAATATTTAATCACTAATTAAGCGCATAGAGTATTAAAATAGGATCACAGTCACATTTATTGGTAATTAAATCAACTACAGGGCGACAACTTGGACATCAATGCGATCTTAGGCATCCTAGCGAACCTGACATACGACTACGAGTGGAACCTCACCGAGGAATTTAACCGGACGCTCATAGAGTGAGTATCAGCCACCAGGCGACCTTCGTGTATCGTACGCCTGTGTATATCCTGGCTCTGGTCCTCAGGTCAGGCGTACCGAAGTGTCCTACGCCCTCCGAACCAACCACTACAGCCACCACGCCCGCCATCTACGACTTCTCTAGATCCCCCGTCGTCAGCAAGGTACGTCGCCAAGGTTCAGCTCGGTGGTGCAGCTACTTGTGTACTGATCGTGTCCTGCACTGTCCAGTGCTTCGTCTGCGGGCTGACGACCACGGAGATCCCGCGCAGCGCGCACTGTGCTGATGCGTTCGGCGGAGACTTCTTGCCGCTGGCGCCCGTCGACGCTCGCTCCCGAAGCCACATCGCGTCCTTCAGGAAGTATTGCAGACGCATGGACGTGTGAGTGTACCTGCTGCTGGATTCCTTACTGACTTTATAAAGTATCTGTATTATTCTGGATTAGATAATTACTTTGATCGTCGCAGACACAACTTCGTGGTGAACCCGTCGGAGCCACGCTCCATCTACGGGCGGTTCACAGGCGGCTGCGCAGTCCGCTGGACGGACCTCTCGGGCGTGTACACGCAGCGCACCTGCCGCGCCAAGTTCCGGCCACTGCTGGGCAAGCACTTCGGCAGCAAGCGGCTGGCCAAGCTGGAGCTGGCGCTCATCGTGAGTACCGAGCAGTGCGCTGTGTCAGTGTGTGTGTGAGTGCTACAGAGCTTGTGTTACAGAACGTGAGGAACGGCTGCATCGCCAGCCCGATGGCGACTCTGCTGCCGCTGTCGCGCGGCATTTCGCTGTACGCGCGCTTCCACGCGTGCGTCTGCACGGGCAACTGGTGCAACCGCGCGCCGCCCGCGCCCGCGCCGCCGCCGCACCGCCTGCTCCTCGCACTCTACGCGCTGCTACTCTATGCTGCCACACTTGCCTACATGTCAGATTAGGACCACACGATGAGAACAAAATAATTATATTATATTATTTTATGTTTGTATTGTATTTATGATTGTTTTGTAAGCATATTAATCTACAATTATACACTAACGAGTTTGTAAGCGTATGTGTCTCTAATTGATCCATTATTTTATCAGATACAGAGTGCATAGAAGTAATACACGATAACACGGGTACACATAGGTAAATGGTATTTACCATTATGTAAAGAGAAACTCGTTTTAGGACTTAGGTAACGTTTTGTGAATGTTGTTAGCATTGTGAATTGTACCTTCTCTCTATGACAAAACAACAATCTAGAAGGTAATCTAAAAGATACTTAGCGAGTCGTGGGTAAGACATCAGATTTACGACAAAGTAACATTGGTACTTGCCGTTTGGTAGGTTTGAACCCGCTTGTCATGCATGAGACAGGTGACTTTTTCCGAGTTATGAGTACTATCTGAGATTATTTAGACACCAAGGACTAACGGTGAAGGAAAACATCGAGAGGAAACCTAAGCTTATAATTTCTAATTATAAGTATAAAATCACCAAACCGCATTGGGCAAGCGTGGTGATTAATGCTTAAACCTTCTCCGTGTGAGGTGAGGCCTTGTCTGCAGTGGCCAGTTATAGGCTGTTGATGATGATGATGATGGTTTAGCGTGAGATGGTATAAACTAGTCCCTAATCTGTACTTTTAGGTCAGTAAAATCTAACATGTCACCTATCTTAGCCCCTCTAATTTAAGATCTCTTGTTTGTTAGGATCCATCATATCTCTTGTTTGAAGAAGTTGCTATTGCTTTGCAAACAATAGCAAACTTCTAACATTTAGTTTTTAACCAAGCCATGCCTTCTATGAGCATTGGTCGGGTTAGTAGCCAACCAACAATTGTCACCAGTTACTGTCTCTGTACCAAGTCTATTTTTATTTTTTATCTGCATTATAAATAACTGTGATACATAATTTAATTATAGGCGTACATCATAGTTGCTGCCCTCTTGACAAAAACTTTAGCAGAAGTACTTAAATAACGGATAATGTTATAAGAATGGCCTCAGATATCTTATTTGTAAAGTTAGACGGCCATAACAGTAAATTAGCCGGTATAATAGAGCGAAGGCGGAAGCTGGCTGAACAGGCTAATGTCTGTGCCTCTGTGGAAAACGAAATGCGGCAAGATGGCGGCGCCGGCCTGTCTGGCGCCAAAATTTTCCCGCTACAGACTTACAAACGTCATAACTCAACGCTTCCTACCATACCAATGTGAGATTTATTGACAGCACTTAAGGTTGAATATCTTATGGCATATTTATGCAGTTCAGTATTGACTTTTCATTATAAGTGGTATGCGTTTTGCGCTACTATTCATGTGTTAGAGAAGTTTTGTTCTTATAGTTATTGGAATAGAGTTAAGATTTGTTTGTGCAATAGAATTTGCTACTGTAATACTTTTTTCTTTGGAGAAGCTTTGTCTGGGTGGCGCCAAAAATACTTGGGTGTAGTTTAATGAATTTGGGACCTTAATACAAGGGTATAGAGTTGATGTCTTTGTATAATAGTATTGCGAGGGTATCTTCTGGTTAGTTATTGTGAATGTAACATTTAGACAGTAGTACAATACTTTATACTTATATAAGGTGCTCTATAATTATCTGCCACGGCTTTAATGGGAGGTAGTGTTATGTTTACAGATTACAATTGTGAAGAAATTTCGTACCGCGGAACAGTTAATTAGGGTGAGTGGGGGGAAGACGAAAAACGGGGAAACATAAAAAACCTTCCATAACGACAGATTTAGTGCAGTTTTTGCAGTGTTGGTAACATTGTTAAGACCGCCATTTTGTTACGTGTCACCCCTCAGTCAGCGTTTGCCGCTTTAAGTGAGTGGTTGTGTGAAAAATACAAATGTCTGTG